TAAAGTAAGTTCTTTATTATAGCATCTACAATCACTTTCATAAGTTGTTGGGACACATGTAGTTTTAGCTTGTAAGTGGATCATTACAGTTTTTTACACACAATACCGCTCCCTTCTTCCTCCCTCTCCCTACCCCACCCCAATCAATGTTGTTTAAACCAAAACACATCAAACCCGACGAGAAAAGGGACACAACATTGAACAGGGGGCGAGGGGGATTGTCGTTTGTTGAAATTCAAAGGTTTTGTGGCATCTGATGACAACAAAAAATTCTCTAGCTATCATCCCATATCAATACCCCCAATTTTTTCTAAAATTCTTGAAAGAGTTGTCTATGTAAGACTCATGAAATATCTTACTAAACACAACATTCTTTCTGATAATCAGTTTGGATTCAGAAAAAATCATTCAACCTTTATGGCAGTTTTGGACTTAATTGATAACCTCTCAAACTCAATTGATAAAAAAGAATTTTCTGTAGGTGTATTCATTGATTTAAGTAAGACATTTGATACTGTGAACCACAAAATTCTTATCGAGAAACTTAGTCACTATGGGATAAGAGGAACACCATTACTTTGGTTCTCAGATTACCTTTTTAATAGGAAACAATTCATTAAATTCAATAATATACTGTCAACGCATAAAAATATCGTTTGCGGAGTTCCTCAGAGGTCCATACTTGGACCTCTATTATACTGCACGCTTGTGTTACCATATATTACAATATTGTAACATTATCTGGGCTAAAACATATAGTACAAATTTAGGAAAAATGTTTAAACTACAAAAACGTACGATAACGAATAATTGCTAACGTTGGATTTAGAGACCACACAACGCCCTTATTCTATAAGCTGAAATTATTGACTGTTTATGACATAAATAAATACCAAACTGGAGCCTTTATATTTAGATGCATTAACTATCCTCGTACTCTTCCACCTATCTTCCAAACCTACTTTGTTCATAATGATGAAATTCACAACTATAATACCAGAACTGCCAGAAAATTACATATTACTCAAGTAAGAACCACAACTAGAAAAATGACCCTAAGACAAAGCTGACAAAAACTGAAATTCGCTTAATGACACTATCACTCTGTCAAAAAATTAAAATCATTTAAAAAAAAGCTCAAATATTTATTGTTTGATGAAATGATGAAAAGCTGAATTAGTTTATTTTGGATAAGAAACCCTGCCCAGTTTGTACTCGACCTTGGTAAAATTGGTGATTAGCATTTTCTACAAACTCTCTGGAGTTTTCTTCTGCCAATCTCCATCCATATTACATTTTACTCTTTTCTTCTATTTTATAATTAAATTTATAGCTTTTTCATTATAATATGTATCCGTCTGTTTAAATAATTCTACCTGCTTGTAAATATTTGAATATGGTAAATAAATATTGATTGATTGATTGATCTGTCCCAAGACTTTTGAAACTGATTGTAGTACGTAATAGGTTCCCATGGCAACATGGCAACATTTTAATTGCATATTATGCAATTTTTTCCTGGAAATGAAATTACTTTTTGCGAGGACTGCATTATGCACATATGGTTGGGGCAGATTAATTACTTTATAAACAAGAGTGATATGAGGGTACGTAAAAATATCAAATCGATTGGGTTTTCCTGCATTAACTCTATTAACCCGGCGATAAAGCAAGGTCAGTACAGCCAGGGAGGCAGGGATTAATAACCGAACGTATGAGTGAGATGCGAACTGACTGCTTGTTGGGGCCCAGGTCAGGAATAAAATCTAGGCCCATGTATATTAGTGCATAAATATATATAGTATTTAGTATGAAAGAGCTTTTTAAACAAATTACATGCAGTTAATAATTACATCGCATACGCCCGTTTGACACGTAGTTTTAAAAAGTTTAAAATAATAAAAATAAATTTAGAGCTTAATTCTTTAGAACTCATGGCAGACTGTATTGCAAATAATCTTTTTTTATTGTTCTTTAACTGCAGCACAATATCTTTTCAATATCAATAATCAATGATCGATTCAAGGAACTTAGGCTTGTTTGAACTAATTTCAGTTTCGAAAGCGACCTTTCACACGAGTATTGCATGTGTGTGCCATTCAATTTCCCTTTCTGTCATGAAAGAAAATTCCCTAAGACACGCCACCAATTCTACATTTTCGCGCCAATTCTTTTCGCTAACAGATTGGGAGCCTCGAAGTTCTCCGGGCCTGAATTGTCAAGTATTTTGTGACCAATATTTGACACTGTTTGTTAAAAGGCGAAATATTTCAAATTTTACAATCTCTCCAAGTCTTGCCTCCACAATGCAGGAAATGTCGTTTCAGAGACCCGAAACTGGACCCCTCCCCCCCCCCTTGCCAAATTCAATTCCTGGTGGCGTTTAGTCATAAAGTCATTAAGTCGCGTTCAAACCACGGTCCGCCATTGTTCGTCTAACATGTTGGGTGCACGAAACACATGTTTGATCTGTTAGAAATGCATATATTTGCAGATAATATTGCATGATGTATTGATTACACGTAGAAAAAATTAAGCTTTGCTTGGTTGTAACTGAAAGCGATTGACAAAAACTTTTTATATATATATATATATATATGTATATATATATATATATATATATATATATATATATATATATATATATATATATATATATATATATATATATATATATATATATATATATATATACGCAACGATCCTACCAGTTTTTAAGCAAATATAAAGCAAATAATAAGCAAATTTAATTAAAAACCAGATGATGAATCCATATACTTTATTTTTAATTAAAATAGACGGGATATGATTTTAAAATAACATGCATGCATACAAGATCAAACTGATCATATTGATTCATGGTCACGCATCTAACAGTACCTTCGAATCACTACGTGAAAACGGTTGTATGTTGCTACAAATTTATAACTTTAGTAATAGCTAATAGTCAGAAGATTATTTAAATTATATGAAAAATTCACTATCACTATTTGATTCCAAAACACTTAAAATTTGAAAGAAAAGGTTTGGGCGTTGGGACTGCAATTTTGGATCAGATCCAATTCTACATGTAGATATGACGTCAGCTCTGCACCGAATAATCATAATGCCAGCAAAAGCCTGTTTACACGAAAACGAAATAAAGCCATGGCGAGAACTCGCTCGGTAACTGAAAGCGATTAAGAAAAACTATTAGACGAAAAACAAGCGGAAACACTAAACCATCTATACAAAGACAGCATTAAGAGTTTTCAACGAGTATTTTGAAGAGAAAAAGATAAGGGAACCTCAATAGAAAAAGGTCCTTGCCAAAATCCTAAAACTATTTTGTTTTTCTTGAATGATATAAGCGTAATAAAATAACTATTGAAAACATTAACCCATGGAAATAATAGATACTATTTCTATGACACAACTCGACCTTGATAATTCTCGATATCACGCTCAACCTCATCCAATATTTATTAAATGTAGACAAACTCAATTATGGACAGTACTAGTCTCTTTAGACTTGATAACAATTTGCACAGTTACGATCTGTCGTATATAATCCATTCTCTTTAATGTAGCCAAGACCTGGGACTGGTTCTATGAAGACCGGTAGTGCGATACTCCACATAGTAATTTTTCCTGAAAATTGGCCGTTGATTGGTGTAGTCCGAATTAAATTTAAAAATTATAGTTTCTTTTTATTAATTGCTAGGTCCATATCCGTTGTTTCACAGCTTTTCATGCATTTTTGGAAAGGTTAAAAACCACTTACAACCCGCCCCAGGAGAATGGATTATATACGACAGATCTGAACGATTCAAGTTGTTATCAAAGCTGGAGATCTATATCTGCATGGTACAATCAATTGGAAATATCCATAAGTTTGTCTACATAATTATTAGATGAAGTTGAGTGTGGACTTTAACTGCCAAACAATAGCAGAGAATAGATGGAACTGATATACTAGCCCCACGTACACCGTGTCCAACATATCTATTGGTTCGCTCACGGCACCCTATAAGCTTAGCGCCCCTTTTTGCTACTTTTCGAAGTTGTGATACGGGCACCAGATCTGTCAATTGCAATGGCTGGTAGTCGAATGATGATCTATATTCTATACAAGGGTTTGACCACTCGTTTAGACCCCTGACTCATTTCAATTCATTGCACGTCCTATATAGAACACTTTCCATAAAAACCGAACCAGATGAACCGAAAATGGCAGATGTTTAATTTGTAAGAATGGAAATTATTCACTTTTGCATTAGTATATAATAGAAATTATTAACGTTCCTATCAATATGGTAGAGACAATAACTACAACATTTAACTCTCCCCTCCCCTTAAAACCGCCGAATTCATGCAAATACCGTAATCCATAAAGGCGAAGTTCCAAGTCTTTTTATCAGTTCAAATTTAACACTTTTTATTAATTAAGTTATACGAATGCATTAAAATTATTTGGATGGAGAAACTATAACTGAAACTATCAATATACAAAAAAATATTTCACCATTAATTACACGCTGAGTATGTACACAACAGTGATTCTCTTTGAGTGATATCGTTGAGAATTACCAAAATATTGATATGGATATATCGTACCTAATTTCGACATTATCCACTGATTTTAAATTCTAACGCTCAAATATTACCTACTATAAAATAATATGAGGCTAACACTATTTTGGCCCATGCTAGAACCCAATATACTCTTCCAATATCTATATTTGTTGCTATTCGCACTGTACAAATGCAAGGTTCAACCTCATTTAGTGTTCACTTGAGTCGGATAAAGAATCATCACCGTTTTCCGTCGCAATTACTCTAGTTTTACCACCGAACTTGTAAATGAGGCGAGCATTTGGAACACGTTCCAAGATATCCTTCTCGTAGTAATATCTTAGTGCACGACTCATCTTTTCGTAAGTCATGTTTTTTCTGTTTTTCCTTTGGCCCCATAGTTTTGCAACTCCGCTAGAGTTGACAAGTTGGAAGATTCCTTCCCTCTTGCTTATCCATTTAATATAACTTTTATTTTCTTCGCTGTTGTTCAGCATCTCCTTCAGAAACTCCCATAAATGAATTGATCGATTACCTGAAAAGGTAAATGGGTGAGAAACGAACACGAATTTGATAGAACAGAACTGCTACATAAGAATCACAACAACAACAACGACAACGACAACGACAACGACAACGACAACGACAACGACAACGACAACGACAACGACAACGACAACGACAACGACAACGACAACGACAACGAGATGAGAAATAAAAAAGATGTACTATTACCTCGATTCCTTGGTCTTGGGCGGCGTGGTCTTTTCAACGATGATTTTCGTTTGCTTTGAGCAGTCTTTTTTGTAGTTACAACTCGGTCATCAACTATAGGGTCAAAAACATATACTTTCATAGCTATAAATGCATTCCTTCATTCAGTGTAAACCCGTTCACACTCGAGACCTGACCCAGGACCGACCAAAAGCAGATAACCTCAAGCTGCTCCCAATTCCACTGACGTCTCCAGTGTTCTGCCTCACCCTCTTTTTCCGTCTCCAGTTGCTCTTATAGGTCATTCTTGGGCACCTCTTTTGGGATTTCATTCAAAGCTTGTTTGGCAATGCTGCATTGTGTTCCATTTGCGGTCCACCCCATTCGTTTGATCTATTCTTCCATCTTCACCTGTCCTGTTACTCTCAAGTCCTTGTTTGAGATTCAATGGACTCGGGGAATTCGTCGTAGGCATCCATTAGCGAAGATCTGTATGTTGTTTCAGGTGACTTTGGCTGTTCTTCAGGTCTTGGAGCCACGTAGAAGCACAGACTTGAGGCGGCCAAGCATTTGAGGTGGCCTGAACCACTAGATCTGTCCTAGGTCAACCTCAAGCCAGGTGTGTACTTTGAACATGTTTTCTAACGAGTGCAGTAAGGATGTGTACTGTATATGCTTACCGTTTTCTGGACATAGCGTCGGCGTTGGTGGTGGCTCAACAACTTCTTCGGTAAGTGGTGCAATACGATCTAAATGTCAAATAAATTCCATGAGTAGATGTATAAATAAACATAATGTACATATATACGGTTTAAAGAATTTAAAATCAAGGATTCACTAGTGCAGTGTTTGTAAGGCACATATAAAAAGCAATTCAGTTTTCCTATGCCGGATCATGGAACTGATCTTATCAATCTATGGCATATTTGAGGTTCAATTTTTTAAATTTTTCGGGGGAGCTTAAAAATAGAATTATCCTATACAACAATCTTAAGAAATAAATGTCTACATGTACAAATAACATTGCATGTAATATGCATGAATTTCAGCTCACCTTCGACCGCAGTTAATTGATTGGCGGCGTAGCTCCCGAAGTCGAACTCGAAGATTCGTAGATCTTTATAAAAATAGATTGAGAAATATATTTTATAGTCCTATACGACAAACGACTTTGGTAGTGGCAGACACTATTGTTTTGGGGTTGGGTTTTTTTTTTTGGGGGGGGGGGTATAGGCGACTGCTGCAACCCGATAATTTCTAAAAATCCAAAATCTGGGGTGTTTTTAACTAGCCCTTTGAATGATAGCTCATTGACTGTCAGTAACCATGCTGTTAAAAATGTTTTTCATTTCAATTTAATTACATTGTTATACTACCCTTACCTTCATCTAAAATATCAGGCAAAGCATGATCTATAAGATCATTGTCATTCAGTGATATTAATGAAGATGCCAGGTCCTCATGATCAAAACTGCCTTCCGAAACATCACATGCTTCAGTACTTCCGCTTGATACGTATCCCATAGGCTCATCCACATGCTGGTATTAAAATAAAGTAAGTTCTTTATTATAGCATCTAGTACGTTAGATGTTCCCATGGCAACATTTTAATTGCACAGGTCTATTATGCAATATTTTTCGTCGAAATGAAATTACTTCGTGCGAAGACTGCATTATGCACGTATATGGTTGGGGCAGATAAACTACGTAAAAATATCAAATCGAGGTTTTGCTGCATTAACACGGCGATAATAAAGCAAGGTGAATACAGGCAGACAAGCAGGGATTGATAACCGAACGCATGCATGAAGTGAAGTGCCAACTGACCGTATTTTGGGCCTCGATCAAGGAATAAAATCCAGGCCCATGTATGTTAGTGTATAAGTATACAGTATAGTATTTAGTATGAAAACGCTTTATAAACAAATTACATGCAGCAGTTATTAATAATTACATCGCATGCATATACGTCCGTTTGACACGTATTAGAAAGTTTAAAATAATAAAAGTAAAGAGCTCAATTCTTTAGAACTCATGGCACAATGTGTTGTAGCCTAAATAATATATTTATTGTTATTTAACTGCAGCACAATATCCTTTTTAATTCAATAGCAATAATGATTCAAGGAACTTATAGCCTTGTTTGACTAATTTCAGTTTCGAAAACGACCTTAATTCACACGAGTTTGTGTGCCATTCAATTTCGATCTTTTTCTGTCGTGAAAGAAAATTCCCTAAGACACGCCACCAAGTCTATATTTTCGCGATAATTATTTTCGCTAACAGATTGCGGGTCTCATAGTTCTCCGGGTCTGAATTGTCAAGACAGTTATCTATACCTATGGTTAAATGTATATACTCACAATGTATAGAATAAACCCATGGTATAAATGAACAATTCAACTAATTATAACTTACCGGCAATCCTAAGTATGTATTTAACGGACGATCGTCAGGTGAGCTGTATGATAGGATTGGTTTCATAGTTGTGGCACTGTTAATGGTTGACTGGAAGTAAAAAAACAATATATTAAATTAAAAAAGGTTGTCCTTCAAAAAGTCTTAAACTTCAGTTAAACATTGAGCGTTCAAGGTATGTGGGTATTGCTTATTCGGAGCCTTATTATTAGCTTAGTGAATCAAATAGCCCTATACTGAAAGTGTTCACATTTTTCTAGTTTAAGCCTCCACACAGGAAGTTACCCATCATACCTTGCGCGCTCAATATTTAAAGACCATGTAAAGTCCATTCTGCGCATACGTTCTGCGCAGGCCTACATTCCAATGGTCGGGACCGGACCATTACAATGTTACTATAATATTTCGCACCTTCCGAACATTCTTGAATTGAATCTCTACTCTGTATTCATTTACAGCCATAGCGAACCAGAACCATTGCTAATATATATAGATACATTGCACGCCGCTATAGGCCTATATATATAATATATATATAATATATTATATATATATATATAGTTTTTCGTTTTACCTCAAAAAGCCACAGCAGTCTGTTTCATCCGTACAGGAATCATCAGGTGGTCTACTTGATGAATCCTATACGGATGAAACAGACTGTTGTGGTTTTTTGAGGTAAAACAAAAAACTATATTGCGCTCTATCTATATGGTATTGAGCACTGTTTGTAGTTCGTAAACCAAAAACTTAAGCTATATATATATATATATATATATATATATATATATATATATATATATATATATATATATATATATATATATATATTATCAGTGTATATATATAGAACTACTAACATAAAATCTTCACTACATTCCTAAGTGTACGCCTGCCGTGCTTTAGTCGTTGGTACACAACAATATTATTGCTTTGATGTCAAACTTAACTTGACTAGTTGCATTTTATAATGTAAGTTTGTATTATATATACACAACACATAGTATATGTCTTGAGGCTAATTTCGGACAGATTAATGTACATTCTTGGTTAATAACACGAAACTAACGTGTCTCAACGTATTCTCATTATACGTGCTGCAGTTTGCTGCCATGCATGCAGTGCATGCGTGGCATGCATATATACATACGCCGCAAACCAGGAATGCGCAGTCAAAACGACAATTGAAAATAAAAGTGATATTTTCCGAAGAAAAAGCGTGCTTCAATTATGATGTTCCTCAACAAAAACGATCATTTAGCAAGCAACGGCTGAAATTTTACCTTGTGCTCAGTGTTGCTTGTTAGTGCAGGGCATTGGCTTTTGAGTCAATGACATTATACTTAGCGGTTAAGCAATTAATTTCCCAATTGTCCGCAACAGATTTGTAAGAAACAGGTGTTCCAAAACATATTTATTAACTTCCAATTCAACAACTTTTCACAAACAGGGTAGTTTTCTCACTGGCAACCTTACACAAGGCTACTGCCAACTGCGTGTCTGTTGCTGATGGCCGGGATTAATTTTTGTAGCCTATATTGATTATTGTCTATACTTGCATGTACTCCTATTTTAGAAATCGATTTTGGTGGAATTCAATGAAGCTGAATTTGTTATTCAAGTCGAGAGATTGGACGTTTCAGATAGTTTTATTCGACTAAGTACATTGTCGGGGCTCGACGAGTTTGGCCGCCAAATTGATAGAAATTTTCTCCAAAATCCCCCCCGAGTGAAATTCAGAAACATTAACTAACTTCAACTAATTAAATTCGACGTCGAAAACAGGCCATGTGAGATAATTTCACATACAAGATTCGCGGAAAGTTTATATACGAACTATCGCATCGTGTTTATAAATTAACTTCTCTTCAGCATACATGCATTGAGTTGCATGGACAAATACTGCGAGACATGTACAAATTGAACCATGCCCGCAAGCAGCTGCCACAGAGCTGCCTTATAATATGTATATACTCGATGTATTCAAATTACATCTGTACGTTTATCTGCTCCGCTTAGACTCTGTGAATAAACGTTTAATAATACTGTATTGATCAGCTCTATATACTATAGACTATAGATTCGCATCAAAAATTTGTCACAATAAATCGTTATAGGCTACCACAGCAAGATACCAAAGTCACCAATAATTATAAGTCTATCTTTGCATATATGTATATATATATATATATATATATAGCTGAGAAAGCCGACTTTAAATTTTAATATTACTATTTCCAAAAGAATTTCCAGCAATGGTAATATCAATCATTGTATACAGTATAAACAAATTTAATATCCAAAACTGATACTGAATAATAATTCATCACATGCATGCATGCATGCACTTTTGTGAATAAGGAATAATAAGTATTTAATCAACATAAATACCAGTTTCGGTATATAGATACATATAAAGGAACGGCGATCTTTTATAGTGATAGCCTATACTTTAAACGAGTTTCAAAAATTGTCAGTCATTTTCAAGACTCTCAGTATAATAGGAATGTGACTGGGCATGTCATGGAATTATATATACTGAGTCGCTTGTGCCTTGTGGGAAATTTCAATAACTATTGCTCTTATACATAAATATAGCCTATATAGCCTATAAACTTTAAGATTTATATACCTATAGGCTATAACCACGATTTTAAATACTACAAATAGCCTACGAATTTCCAATGGGCGCGATACTTTAAATAATTTCGAGGTCTGAGTCAGATGAATGAACATGTAGCTATAATTAAAATACGTAGATGTATAATTAAGAACATAGCTCCTATTTTCGTCACGAAAAAGTCTTTATGCCTTAAATATTTAAAACTATATGATGCAAAGTATTAGCTTTAATAATTATATAACATTATTAATTATATTCACTGGATATTGACTCGCCTTCGAAATATGTGTACATATATCTATATATATATATATACTGCATGAAAAGATTTTTCCAAGAAAAGTGTAACCATATATACCTTAGATTTCGTTGATTTTGGCACTCATAGAATTGAAATGATTTGTGTATAATCTAGCTGCATTTGTGCAACATATGCAGTTCTAACATTTAATTTTCTAGATGGAGTTGCTAACTAAAACATACTCTAACCCGCTCATCTAAATACGAATACATTCAATACAACAATATAAAAATGCTGTCTGCATGGCATTGCATTTACAAAAGGGCTTTTATTATTAATACTCTCCATGTGCATTGCCAGATAACAATGAAAATTAGTTGCTCGCAGCTTTGTAGTTGTATAGGCTATATCACTTGGTCGAGACAAGCATGTAGCAACTAGCTAGCAACAACTATATTAATTAAAAAATACATGAAGTAAAAGTACTCACTCACATGCGAATAATATTCAATGAAATGCTACAAAACTAACAATCCTGCAACATCAATGCTGTTACGCGGCTGGCCAAACAGTACACACTCATGTATCTGAGCTAGCAGGCGGATATATAAGTATGTGTTTACCAACACACTGCTTATAGACAGCGCTTTAAGTGTGTTTTAGCGCAGTTCCAGCGATACGCAACAGTACATTTGTCATCCGGTGTCACCGGGGGGCCGGTTGGACTGTCACTTCGTGGTGTTTCGAATATCACATATCAAATTCTGATACTTTCATATTTAGCCGTCTCCGTGAAATTTATGACAACTCTGTTATGCAGAGCAAGCCTAGTTTAGGCACAAATGCATAACATACAAAATATATTCCCATGCAACTAGATAATATTGATCGTGTCAGCAATTAAATTAATACAAATTTTATGCAATCAAAACACAGAACAACATACCTCCAAGGCAACACAAAGTCTGAGAAATTTTCAGGCAGCTTTGAAACTAAGCTTGTTTGGAAAGTACGTTTAACAAATCGCCCAAATAAATGTCATCGAATTAACTTTGTAGCCTGTAGACGGTTTCGGATGTCTGCAGTATGTTGACGATGCAAATCTGCTTGTTACAATGTTTTTCTCATGATAACGCCTTTTGTATTACCTAATAATGTTGTGACCGGATGCAAATTCCAGAGCGTCTAAGACAATCAGGGTAGGTCAAGAGGGCATTAAAAATTAGCGTTTGAGTGCTTAATGAACCATTAAAATTATTCCACCCCAAAAACAAAGATTCGAAACTACAAATTTGCGTGTATGATCAGTTTCAGAGCTATGCCTCATGATTTCCAATGTACACTTACAGCTTACCTAATTCACATGGAATGCAAAAAATCTTGTATCATATCTTTTAGCTTGCCTTTTTATACAATTTTAATAATTTAATGCTAACATATACAAAGTGAGTGATCTAGATCATAAAATATCGGCTGTCTAATACTAAACCAGTATTTATCCAACAGATCCGGCCACGGTAATTCACAAATCATTCAGATACGCCACTAGATCGGCTTTCCGGCTCCAACCAAGCAATTGTAAGTCCTGTATACGAAATATGTGTAATCATTTCACTTAATATTTGTAGTTTATCAATGCCTGCGTCGGCGGACACTAGAGGAACACTCGAAGTCTGCAATTAAGCCCGTTACTCAGAATTGAAAATTTCATGCAACCACTCATTGCCGATGGGTATTTCATCCTTATATTCCAGGGAGTTATGGCGTTCCCGATTAAACCGTATGCATGCATCCTTTAGCCTACACTAAGGAGTTAGCTAGACTAGTGAGTAGTGACATAAAACGTCTCGAGAGGACAGGAATAAAAATACTTTTGTATTTGAGCAAATGTTTATATAGTTATAGGGCCAACTCAAATTCAAAACAAACTCCTTCAAATAAATAACTCTAGTTAATCAATGAATATCTATTGTATGAATTTAGTGGAGATTAAGACAGAGTGACAAGACATTACTGTGTTGTATCAGACGCACTTGATGACGTAAGAATCTTTGGTTTGTTGTTGCAAACAGAGCTGGCAGAGCGGGAACACTTCTGAAACTCCCAATTGGGACTTTAAATTAAATTACAATTAAATTTTCCTTTCTACACTATCATAAATTTCATTGTATCAATAGCCTTCGCCATCCTGTTAGGTAAAGGACCCTGTTGTGTCTATAATCAATGCAATTGAATGTCGATGTGAAACGTCAGAATTGCCAGCATAAAGGTTGAGTTTAAACAAGAATGGCGCCGTGCAGAAATGCACCATGGGAAATACGATTTATTTTTATCGTCTTGTAGCATGATGGATTTTTTCAAATTATAGGAATAGTGCTGCTATCATGCAGACGCATAAATACAATCGCTCAGAACTATAAACTTTAAGGCCTCAGAACTATAAACTTTAAAGCCCGGGTCAAATGAGGCAGTCTCGTATTGCCATCACAAGGGACATTTTAAGTTCTAGATTAACAAAATAAAGGCTTGATGAGTGTTTCAGCTACGTTTCAACGCAAATAGAATACGTGATTGTGTTGGGCAAGCATTAAGAATAGCTTACCAAGGGCAAGGTCGCGTGACTGTACGCGAACTCGTTGGATATCTCGATTTATTAACACGGCCATTTTAACGCACGCCATTTTATAGCTGAGGTAACTGCGAGAAAAACGCTGTTTTGCGGTCGGGGACTTCTCAGTTTTATATGGCGTTAGCTCTAACGTCCCCCTTGTCATGTGCCGAACCGAATGCAAATGATCAAATTAATTTGTTTGAGTCATTTGCATTACAGTAGGTTTAGCACATGAAATCTCCCTATCAATATTAACCAATGATTCGAAACTGACATTGAAACCTTCGTAACAGTCACACAAATATTAAGAACGATTTGAACTAAGAATAACTCAAAAAATAAAAAGAAACTTACACATTGCTGTCGTTTGATAAAGGTTGAGATTGATTGCCTAATTGAATTTTTAATTGTTGTCTATAACAGGTGGAATGTAGATTTAAGTGAATGACTCTGTTATAAAGTTACATAACGTTCTATATATAGTGCAAAAATATACAAATTCTGAATATTATATATAACATACTGCATCTTGTATAATGCATCTACTGGATATAAACGTAGGCTATACAGATACGGTAGTAGTTTGTTGTAGTCAATGGACTGAAGCTTTAAGGCTTCGAAATAAAGTCAAAATATCAATTAACTCAGAATGTCTTCATTGATTTTAATCATGCATATCTTGAATTTTCAAAATGTATGTATCTCTTTCTAATTCGTTGTATTTTATATTTTTTCAAATGTCGGCTGGGAATGGATGTTATAGCTACCATGGTGTATAATACTCGTTGCCGACCCATTGGCATTGAAAAATTTCAGACGTTACTCTATTTTGGCGTTAACTTTATTTCTTAGATAGAGCAGTGATACCATGTCCATTGTGTTATCTGTGGTTATATAATCAATCTATACAGCTACAAATTGATTAGTAGCAAATTAAAAATGAAATCTGCGCAAAACCGTCACGAATGTAACAAATGATTAACATGAATTTTAAATATTTCATAGTTAAATTCATTTATTGATATATAAATGTATATATTATAGTTAATATATATATACTGTAGTTCTCGAATATGTTAGCTAAAATTAGCTACACTGTAAATTCGAAGGTAAATAAAGTTTATTTATGTATGTATATGTATCAGAAGCATAGTACGAATCGAAAGCGTTTAATAACCGTTAAGCCATCCCTTCGAACTATAAAACCAAATGAGAAACTCGAAATTTCAACTAAGCACATGAAAAACTAATGTGAAAGTAGCGGCAATTAACATATAGCTGAATATATTGTTCTTCGACTTTGTATAGACACAATACTGATCAAAGCAAATGCGGAAAGATTATTACGCGTCACCCAATATAAACTTTCCGTTTCAGAGCAGCGAATATTTCAAGTACACTAAGTACAATCTGGGCGTGACGACTATATCCTCTTTTGGCAGTGGGGTTTTAAAACTTTACGTTCATCCCTTTCCTTTTCGTTTCTAAGTAAAATTACAAATCATAAGTGCCTATAAAGACTCTTGTTGTTTTCAAGGAAAATATGCCTTATGTGAAAGTGTATAAATGTGATGTTTGCAACATTTGCATATATGGAAATATTTGATAGACCATTCATAAATACTACAAAACGTCACTTTTGCCGTAACAATTTGAACACGCGTACGGTTTCTAAACGGAGAGTGATGAAAACAGAGCGCTTTGCGGCTTCGTATCAACCAGCGAACCGTCTAATAAGACTGGAACGATAACTCGGCCGCCATCTTTGAAGCCAAATTTAAGGCCGCCACGAATGCTATAAAAGGCCGAAATTACACCATCAAAAGAACGCTGATTTTTTTACACAAAACAGTTTATTTGAAGCCTCCAAAAATGTCTTTTTTTCAAAGTCTGACCTCCGAATTTGAAAATAAACATTATAAATAGGTTCAGTTATGATATACAAATCATATTACACAACTCTGAACTTCCACACAGCATGTAAGACGACGTTTTCATACAAATTGACCTAAACTTGAAAAAGTGTCTGCCAACCTGAATAAATCAAGATGTCAAGTATACAGTCCATCTCAATCCTCGCCTAATCTCAACCATCCAGACTTCTGTACATGTTTTTTGTATTTGTTTATATTGTTTTATGTTCTGCTTACAGCCATTCTGTTCGGGTTTTGTGCAAGATTCCTAAAGATTTGCGAGGGTCAAAAAGCAAACGACAATATACTTGAGTTTTACTCCGAAACAAGTTTCGTGAACGTAGAGAGATTTAAACCTTATTTTCTTGCGAGTTAAAGAGCGAAGTTTTCTTCGGCACGTTCAAATTTGTTAAATGTTGCAAATACTAGCTGATACCTCAAACGTTTTTGCAGCTACTTGATGCAGAATACTTAAAATCCAGAAAACCAAGTTTAAATATTTGAAATTGAAATCTTCGGACGAAAAACCTAATTTTTCGGCGTATTTTTGCTAAAAACAACAAAGTTACGAGGAAATTGAACTCTCCCCAGTTCTTTTTTGAAAGTCACAGAGCGCGATACTTCTCCCGGGCGCCAAATCACAATCAAGGGGGGAGGGGTTTTTATTCACGTTTTAGCGATGTCAAAGAGCACTCAAAATAAACAACTATACCTAGACTTTAATAGTACAAAACAGGTATTGGTCGGTGGATTTATGTTTTAAAGTTGTTTTTTTTAGTTAAAGAGCAAAGTTCGCTTCGGCACGTTCAACTAGTGTCGTTTTTATGAAAAGAAAAATGATACCCTTCAAACTTTCGCTGTTGCTAAATGCAAAGCAGTTCTAACTATCTAATAAATCGTATTGGGGTTTTTAAAATTGAAGTCTTTTGATGAAAAACGACTTGCTCATTTTCGTCGAAAATAAACTTTGACTGAATTTCCCACTCCTATAGAAATTCTCCTTAGCCCTTTATAAAAGTGCAATTTCCTTGCGCGGTTTGCTTCATCTAGCTTGGCTTCAGGCAAGTAGGGCGTGTTTATAAGGCCTTCAGTTATTGTTCCAGTATCAATAGAGTTCACTCACTGGTGTCAACACAAACGCCGTTACTTTTCTGTACCGCTTGCAAAACAAGCATCTCAGATCTCAAAATAATAAATTCGAATGCTCTTCCGGTTTAAATTTCTTTGCTTTATTTGAAATATTTTGGGTTTACATGAGTGCTAATTTAATTCATTTGTAAACAAACTGTAAAGGAGTAGTGTGAACACAGGTGAATTCTGCCCCCATTATTTCGCGCCGGTGTGGTGTGAACGCAGTATAATGTAATGTACTCAATGTAATTTACGTCTCCTTGGCAACCGTGGGTGTCTCAAGTAGTGGTCCAAGTGCACTTTCCTGAAACGAAACACGCGTGCGTACCGATATGCGGATGTCCAAAGTAGTTTGTTTTCTTGGTAATAAAAAACTTTTTCCGTTTTCTATACAATTATCGAAACACGCGTGGGAGTTTCGGAGAACGAAAAATAATTCGCGGGAAAACTAGCCTAGAGTTATTCCACGTGATTTCGAGTTCTCGCAAAACACCACAAGTGTTTCTGTAATAAACTGGATAGAAACACGGGAGAAAATGTTTTCTATTTCTTTCATAATACCCAAGAAAACGTTTTATACACATTGTCTATATCGATTAATTTACAAATTTTCACTTTCTCAGCATAAAATCCACACCGATCGGTTACTGAGCCTTTGCTCGTCATTTTGACCATAAAATAGTCTCGTTCTTATTTAAACTGAGAATTCCTTTATGATGCGGTTCCTTAATTTCGTTGTCAAAATTATAGTATTATCACATTTGTTTCTATTACAGCGTTAAAATTGTTTTGTTTACGTTTTAAAATCAAGGCTGCAACACAGGAAATTAATTCAGTCCCGCGTATTTCCGTATAGTATATACAGGCTGCTCCATTAACTGTTCTAGAACATTTAGAACACTGTTCTGGAACGATATAAAATGGAGTGCACACGGTGTTGTGGAATAATGTTTAGTTTATTATATATGCGTGCAAGCATGCATTACTATATTAATTAGTTATTCTGGCCATTAGTGGATACCTAAGTATGCTTTTGCAACGTTTATAGTCGTTTATTTTGCTCAACCCTAGCGTTCAAATAGCACTTATAATAAGTATATGTCGATATATAGCGATTAACCCTTCAAAATAACGCTCTATGCAGTGTGCATTGGATACACATAATCTGTCGCCTCCATTTCCAATCATGTGAAAATAGGCAGTGTCACGTGTCTGTTCTGGTTGCCCCTACTCGAAAATCGGGGTACTGGTCAGAACAGTTCAGAACATCTGAACATGTGACTGTCTTCTGTTCCATTCCATTAGTTTTCCGAAAATTCGGAGTACTCCGAACAGTAAATGGAGCACCTTGCTAGAAACAGGCTTCTTAACCAATCAACGCTCGCGTACTATGATTGTATTTGTGCAGGGGGGATCATGAGATGGGCAATTAGCCTGTCTCACGCCGCCATTTTTGGGTGGCTTTTCAGCCGAAGTCTGCGAGATAGGTCCACATAACAGCGACTTTTTATAATTTTTTGACGAATGATGGTAAATTTGCTTTGTAACTGGGTTAGTTTATTTTGAAAAATTGCTTTTCACATTGTTTAATTGTCTGCATTGATTAATTAGTCGCATATCATCCTTTTTGTTGTGTTTCTGTTTTCTTGTTCGTCGCAAAACTTAATAATGTCGTCCTCGCTTCAATCCACAAACCGTGAACTAGAAGCCATTTGTAAAACAGCGAAAAAGGCGGGAAATGTTGTGTCACTCCTAAGCATGACATACGGAAAATACGCCACTCAAGTCCCGAATGTATAGTGGCGTATGAGTAATACGAGTGTTTTAGTTCCCAATAAAATACCCTTATCCATATAATAAATGCTAATATTTCACGCTGACATTACTACGAGTTATATTTTGACATCTGCAGTACAGTTGCCTGGACTGCATATACACATCTAACACAATAACATCACGGAGAACTTTTCCAATTCCGTGGTGGCACCATTGGCCTCAAACTTTGGGGGGGAGAAAATTGAGGGACAAAAAAATCTTTGGGGTGCGGCAAAGCTTTTTAAACATCAACGTTATAAACATACATGAAAGAATTATCTTTTATGAAAATTTTGGAAAACAGGTATGCTAGTTACCCATGCACTGGTTTTAACTGGCATTAGAAGATTCTTTCGAAACATGAGCAGTAGTCACTGGTTGATGTTTTTCCCAAATAATGCATGGTGCCCTTGAGGGTCTCCCGGAGTTTTTTTCGGCTTGGTTCCCGTGTCCCCATTGCAAAATATGCAAAGACCCTCCCCCTTCGCTGTTTATTGTGACATTAATTTAATATGTATGTGGCATTTAAGACAATCGGTTAAAATTGCTTTAAAGTTTCGTTTTGGGCTGAACGTTCCAGTACTTGACTCGTTATTAATTAAGTTTCCGCCAAAATAAGGAGAACTCTATAATGTTTACAAGAAAATAAGCATTAGGATGTGCATGAGATATACCAATAACAACAGTCCAAATTTTAGTATATCCGACACATGTCACGGGCTCGCTTCGAGCCGATTATGAGATATGTATATGAGCTGGATCTACCTGCTTTCGAACCGGATGGGTGAAATTCCGTGTTTATATAGACAAGCCAATACATAGGCCTACGTGGGGTGTATCAAAAAAAGGTAAACAAACTTTAGCGCGCTTTTGTGTATTTAATAGTGAGCGCACAGTTGTTTTTTTCATAATTAATAAGAACTAACGTTTTAGTTACTCGTGATCTCAAAACTAAAACTGGATGGAAATGAAGCCAATCGCGGCCATATCGGTGTTGACCATGACCGCAAATGGTACATGATGCTGACATTTAGAAGAGGTTTTTAAAGTTTCTGGTGATTGGTAGAGATAAAAATAGAGCAATTATTAGTGGCCTCTTTTACCTCTGAAATTTGCCGATAATTAATAAGTAATGAGGTCATACTAACATGGCTACCTCAACTGGTCTAATTAATCTCGTGTTTAAGACGTTCTAAAACGTATTAGAAGAGGTGGGGCGAAGCTATAGCTTTCACGTTACGTAGAAGGAGATATTTGCTTGGTAGTATAACTAATTTAAACACATAACGATTTGATTCGTAAGGAATGTGACAGCTTTAAAAATCATCTTTCATTATAAATATGCTGGCTTCAAAATTAATTCCCTGAATTCAAAAGGTTGCTCTCTTCAGGAGTCCTAAGATCAGTGGTTTTAGCTTTTCAATGACACCGTATCATTCCGAGCTGAATCAGCTGATCGTGAGTTTCCTATGTCCAGTGATTCCAGTCTTTTTATTATCCATTAATTATATTAAACTAAGTAATTTTTAAACTTACTTGATAGTAAAACTGTGACTGTCGATGCGCGTATCCAAAGTTTTGTCCAAATGGATTTTGGTGGAACCAAGCGTTGTTTGTGTTCGCCATGATTATTTGTTAACTTTTCTCAGTGCCAGCGAAAATTCAACAATTCTTTGGAGTTCTGACAAAAGATATAACAATTGTAATTGCTATATTCGTTTAATGAAGGCAACTGGGCGTTCTTTATGTCGCTTAAACTTGTACCCTTTTGATTTCATAGGAAAACATGACCTGTAACTTTGTTAGGCACGCACTGCTTGACTATTCCTAATTAGTAGCTCACGCTTTGGAATCAGGATAGTTTAACTTTTAAGGGTGGTGCAGCAACAAGGAAAATACTTAATCTGAAGCCCACTATCAGGGCGGGGAATAAACGCACTCATAACAAAATGCGATTATTTAATAATGGATAGGATGACAAACACTTACATGTCATCATCAGTGAATGACATAAATATATATATAGACGCTGCCTATTTTCATACATGCGTCCCCAATATTAATACAATTATATACAGTAGCAAAAAATGATTTTGTATGAACGATGCAATTTTGATGAGCATGCATATAATATGCACCGGAAATCCGCCTTGCAAAGCTTCTTTAATTTGCACGTAGTATAATAGAAACTGTTCTAATATAAACCGCGCATAAAGAATGTAATTGTAATGCAATTTTGCCAAAAATGTTTGTGCTAAAGAACTAGGCTCCTAGACGACCAAATTGAGAATTACAAACAAGCTTATGTTAATGAGATTCTCTCATAACAAGATCAAAAACAGAATGTGAAAGTCATCATGCACATGTGCAATAAGTGTGATGTGGGTGTTTTACACTCCCCCAAATATTTCCTAGATAATTATCTCACTGCATGGAAGGCTATTATAGGGATGTGAGGGATATTTTACAGAAAAAAATGTACAATTGAACGCAAAGAACTTATATTTCCATTGGCATGTTTTCCGATAGTCGATATCTGATAAAGTGCAAAATAAATGGAATGACAAAGGTCCCATGGACCCTCAGGATTAACGTACGTTTTTTTGCTTATTTTAATAACCTGCAATCTCTTGCTGCATTTGTCATTTTCGGCAAAAAATCTATTCGGTGTTTTAGACCTTTTCAATGAAAGGGCATTTTGCCTAAAGAAACTCAGACTTACGCTCGTTTACAGATCTAAATAACAAAAAATAAATAAAATTATGAATTAAATATAAAGATGTTGTGTGACGGCCGATACAATTAATGTACGCTAGTTTCTCTGCTTGTTGCATGGGATATACTGTACTAGATCCCGTTGTATTTGCGCGTCCATATGAAAATAGAGCGATTTCTCAGCAACAGCTAGCCATGCCCAAATACTTTTGAGTATTTGAGTGTATAAATAAGGCTGAGTGCAGTTAATATATTTTAATACCGCGAGTCTATAGTAATACAAATCTTGGCTTATATGTTTAGCATATATGCATGTTCTGAGAATTATCAAGAACAATTCTAAAATGGAATATTCCACATGCACTTTACAATAATACTTGTCACAATAACAAAGTAAAGTATTTTAAGCATCATGACGTGTCAACCGCCTGCATGTGGGTGAATATACAACCCACGCACCTTCATATTTTCATCATCGCTTGAAACTCTGCGTTTTCCCAGTTCGTGTAAATCTTTGAGAAGAATTTTGTAGGCGGAAGAGTACTAACGAATTAGGCAAAGTCGTTTCTATATATATGGATATCATAATTCGCCCATGACTGGTAAGCATGTGCAAATATTTCACACAGTGGTTATTATACGTCATTATACGCCTTTAACTTGAACTATTATACAAATTTCAAAAACTCATTAATAATTCATGAGGAAAACACAAAGAAAAATCATATGGCGTGTCGTATCTTTATTTGTGATAGAAATTTCCCTTGATGTACATAAACTTTAACTTAGATTTTCTGGACTTACTCAACGTATTTTTTGAAAATTACTTCGCTAGATCGATCGTTTTTGAAGCAATTTAAAACATTCGCAGTGCTGTTTTATAAGAGCTAAAGATACTCGGCTTCGCCTCGTATATTTATATCTAATAAAACACTGCTGCTCATGTTTAAATAGTACATAAAGCTTTACAAATACGACTTGAAAAAAGATGTGAATAACAAATAATATATAACATATAAGTACACACGATTAATTTGACGCCCTAGTTAGTTAAATTGACTATTACATTGAATATTACATTACTATTGAATATTACAGCTGTTCCTAGAGTAGAATGTGAAACATATAAATAATACGAAACTACGGCTAGATAATTTCAAAGACAAACGGGTCAGTAACAATTCAGAGGGTTTAGAGAATAGTTAAAAAGGTCTGTGTGTCATACCACTGACTATCTCCAGGGGCGAAACTTGAGGGGAGGTATGGGGGGGGGGGTGACCCCCCCAAAAAAAAAACACAAAAAAAACCCAGAAAAAACCGAATCATTTGGATTGGCAGGGCAATCAAAGATTTTAAATGATGGAATGTAGAGTAATTAAGTAACTTAGAGGACTTTCGGAGAGAATTGAATAGATTTATAGACCTAAATTTTACAGATATTGGTCCAGAAATAAGGGTTTCACCCTTGTTTTAACGGGAATTTGTACCGAAAAATTTTTTTGACCCTTAATTTAACTGGTTTATGTCCGTTTTGCAACCCCCTCCCCCCCCCCCGATCGCCAACATTTTGGGAAAAAATAGTGACCAGAATTAAAAATTTGCTGCAGGGCATCATCGGTTTGGCAGGGCAATTCTGGCAAACCCCCCGAATTAAAAGGGGCTAGTTTCGCCCCTGACTATCTCATGCTCACAAATCTTCTTAATATATTCAGCCTTTGCGTCTTCAGCATAAATTTCGCATTGGATTAAAAAACTGAGAAATTTGTAACTTCTGGTCGCAAAAATAGGATTAACATACTTTTTTGTTTATTTTACTAGCCTGCAATTTCTTGCTGTATTTGTCATTTTCGGGAAAAAATCTATTCAGTGTTTCAGACCTTTTCGATGAAAGGCAGAAAGAAACTCAGGCAGAGATCATGGCATTTCTGAATTCGTATTAAGCGACCATTTCGAACTCTATCGAAGCAAACTTGGGAAGATGTAGTGGTTAATGGATGATGCCATGCATGTTGTTATGCATGTTGTTATTTTCAGTAAACATTTCCCTGCACCCAAAATGGTGGAAGTCAAACAATTACACATGTGCTGTGACGTCACTTGTAAGGCCTGAACAGTGAACTCAGTATATATCTGAATCACGAAATTTGGTCATTCGTCCCATGAGAAAACTGAAGCGAAGATAGTGGAATTGAGGTCCAGTACTAGAAGCTATGAAGTTCGTAAACAGTTTTTTTACCATTTTCTCCAGCTAATTCTTAAGTATATACCGTATACTGAAGTAGGACTATAACGCCACAATTTTATCCTCATCAAATTTTATCAAATGCATACGACTGACAATAGACAAAAAGTTTTATTTACAATTATTTATTTGAATGAGTCTGTTCTGGCCATCGTCGGCGTTGCCGTGCCCTAACGATCATGCGACGCACCAGAGGGAATGCTGCAACGCGATTTTCAGTTCTTGAAACTAGTGACAAAATCGTTCATGAAAGAAAGTTTAAAAGACGTGCAGGGACACCGAAACTGGGGGGCAGGAGGGGCAGCTGCCCCTCTTGCCCTTTACCAGGAGGGGCAAGGGGGGTGGGCCGAAGGTGGCCTTTTGATTAAAGGAAAATATTTGTTATTAACAGAAAGAATTCGTTCTCGTTATTATAGAACTATATAAACTATATAATATAACAAACTTTTGCTGGAAAACTGTAAGAAATGTATGGAAATTAAGTTTATATGATTCCAGTGTTATTCCAATTCGCTGTTAACGTGCGTGTCACCTCATATTTTTCGCAAAGACCTCTGAAACAAAAATTTGGCTGAGAAGGAGGGCGAAGTTAGAATAACTGTAAAGGGATAACAATATATAAAAAGTAAAATTACTTGAAAGAACTTGATTTAAACGAGCCTCTATATAGCTCAAATTTCGCGTACGACAGCAGTCATTTTGGGCATTTTGGGCTGAATTCTTTTGTGCCAGAAATGCAGTCGTTGAGCTTCAAAAATATCAAAATCCTCTGGGGGAGAACCGCAGATCTCCCTATTTCTTTACAAATCAGAAACGTGATTATGGCAGCGTTAAACTCCATGCAGATGTTTCGTAAACGTCCTTTAATATATATCAATTCAAAAGTGCCCTTCGACGAAAGTCTGCCCCCTTTGCCCTCTCGTCGTTCCGGTGTCCCTGAAGACGTGTGTAGACCAAATTACTCAAAATGTCATAGCACTTCTGAATATTTGAGAACTCCGCATACTACGTACAAGAATCAAAGTTATCTATCGGTGAAAATAATCTGGACGTGCACGTAGGACATGGTACAATGAAATTCATAACATTCACAGAATAAACAAATAATGAAAATCCCACAGCACGGTGGTTTTATAGATGTCGTCCATGCTCTGTCTTTACAACCGAGGGAAACTCTTGCACAGATGTTTACGTCTTGCATGTGCATGCGCACTGTTAATTTCAGGGAGTTAATTTTAACTCTGGTGGGGTTATTTTGAACCTTATCATACTCCACATTTGGAGTTAAATTTGGTTCAAAATAACTACAGTATACTGCACGGGAGTTAAATTAGTTCCTTCAAATTAACAGAGTTGTGTACAACGCCTACTTTTAAGCTCCGCGAGAATTGGTCCTCGTGCAGCGATCGAATTAATTGGCTCAGTAGAGCTCATCTTAACTATAAAGCCCCTGTCCCTGTCAGTCTCTTACCTGCCTCAAATTGCATTAAATTCATACAATTGAAAATACAAAACACGTTTTCTGTGCAATCATTTATTTATAACAGTTTGTCTTTATTTCATTCCATGATATTATGGGACTGCGAGATTGTCGTTTTCAAACAAATCCATGATATGTCTTACTGATGGAAAGTCGCAGAGATCACGCCTATGATGATCATTTGTTTAAAGTTAAATATTTTTCACTGAGCACTTTCTAATGATGAAAAGTGTCGGTGCACGAGTATTTAGCTAGGGAAATGGAGCCGTTGAGTAATACACTGCATAAATATATTGCTGGACTTCAAACTCAGAACATGCAAGCTTAACATACATGCGCCCTTTACTTTAAGACCTATATTCAGTTGCATATATATAGGAAGGCATGTTTGAGTTTTTGGTCTTATTCTTGTTAAAAAGTTTGCGAAAAATCGAATAAAAATCAGAAACGCCGAGATATGTTGCTCATGCAGCCTCCGAGACGGTGATGATGACATTCTAGAATTACAATTAAAAGTAATTTTGATTCACTATAATAAAATAATAGAGCGTAGTTCAAATTAATCACACTCCAGCGGTTATAACTACAGTATACTGTATTGCACATGAACAAGCTGTTAAAATACATTGTATTTTAAAATAAAAAGGTAAACTTTGCTACGTTTATGGCAATAACCGTATATACCTACAATAACATAGTGCATGTAGGGAAATAGCAAAGTAAATGATTATTTGATTCAGTTAAACATGCTGTACAACAGATTATAAAGGCTATTTCGTACGAGTTACGACGTTTAAACTGTTCTCATGCACCGACTCGTGCAACGTTCTCTATAAAAGTATGATTTGTAAACTAAATGCAAATCACACGAAAATATATAGTTGGCTTTATAAACGGACTACATATTATAAACATATTTAGTTCGAAGGGTAAAGAAAACGATATATTATATTATATTTCCCTGAAAAATTGGGCCATATAATCATTATAATTTTTGGTTGTACATTGATCCGGCATAATTCTTCTTATGCAATGAAACAAATTGATGGTCAAAACCTCACAGCATCCATGATGGATGATGCATGAATGCAATTGTGATTGAATTAAATAAAGCATGCCATCAGTCACTTTCGAGCTATATTTTCCAAGTAAAATTGACCAGCTCAAATGAATATGTGTCGATTAGCAAGCACGCCGTGGTGTTCATGGTTTTGCGTCGCGAAATTAAGCCATCGAGTTTTACCTTGAAGGCAAAAGTCGTCTTTTAAAGCGTCTACAAATACTTGCGACATATTCAAAGTCTTAACCCAGTGTCCACATTACCTGCCCTGCAGCTGTACAAATTCAAGCTTTGTCTCCAAGATTACTGATAAATTATGAAATATTAAATGAAGAGTAATATTCTTAATACAGTGTACAAATTTCGCTACAATTTGATTTGCTTTAATTCAATGTTCTTACCTTCCTATTACTTCACCAACGTTCCAAGATTATGTATAGCTGTAATGCTCTTTTAAACCTTTTTATGGCTGCAATTACTTTGATCCCTTATTCGAAAATCGTTATCAGAATTCTACACGTTGCAAAATGAAGAGGACTGATTTTGTTAAATTCAGAATCATAGACAAATTAAACCAACGAAATGCGTGTGCGTTTTACCGAATTTCTAGTATGTAACACATTTTATATGTATTGCGCATGCTTGGTTGACACATGATACACTAGGATTAATATGCGCCATTGTTCCGCATTAAACATCCTGTGTACAGAATTTCAATAGCGAAACGCGCAATTTGCTACATTTTTCAACTATATTCTTCACTTTTCTCATGATGTAAAATGGCATGACGCAGAAATTTTAAAACATATGTTAAAATTAAGAAGAATCTATGTATAATATCCTATTTTCATTTTTGTTGTAGCTATAGTGTATATCTGCATGATCATATATGCCAACAGTCTATAATAATCAATATTTTAGTTCTACAAAAAGTTCTATTCGCTCCCAATTTTCCACGAAGTATATTTGTACTTATCAACTTTCATTGATAAAGTGTGATACAAAGAGACTGAGACTTCCCAGGGAATCTCCGAAGATTTTATACATGTAATATCGTACGAAGGCAAGTATAGCCTAAGTTTGGTATAATTATATTCGACCATGCATGCAAGTTATTTTCAAATCAGGTTGGCTAAATACGAATGCGACGATATATAATTTGCTCTCCCAACCTTCCGCGTTCCACACGTATACGCCTTCAATTAAGTGAACGATTTGGTAAATGGGCCGCACCGTGTGAATCTTCCTTGAGTTCCTTTTCTCAAATGTGAATCTTCCTTGAGCGGTTCCTTTTCTCAAAATAACTTTACTATTACTTAATGCATGTATTGGTCTTACTGTAATATGCAATATTATTTTTATCACCGTTCATTTTAATAAAAACGTTGTGCCCCCAAACTTGGCGTACTTCTTGATGTTAAACGCGACAAGAGTTTCAAGTGATGACTGCATTATAGCAATGCATGCACACAATTATAGTCTTAAAAAATAAAGTTTGCTATATATATATATATATATATATATATATATATATATATATATATATATATATTCATTGCCAATAAACATTAGTGTTGAGACCCGATATTTAGCAAAAGAAGCTTGACTTTCAAGTTTCAGCCAGGTTTCTATGTAATATCACTGGCGCATTTAAAGTGATAGTTGTCGAAATTGAAAGGTGTCGCATATCATGATTGTATATCATAATGTTTTATGTCCATGCACTATTTCACAATTTTAATTGTATAGTTGAAAACATACCGCAAGACTCAATACATACCGCAAGACACAATAAATGACGGCACGCAAACTATGTTTATTACACCATGCAACTATACAATCTGGAACCATGTTCAGAACATTAATAGAATCATTAGTGTAATAGCAAATACAAAGCAGAAAACATGTCGCAACTGACTTTGGAACAGCAGAAATAATCATGAGAGCTTTGCCTAACCAATTAACCATCATCAGTGAGACGGGAAAAACCATTTGTAATGTTCCTTCTTTAATAATCATTACCTAAGGGTGTTTCCCTCGTTCCTGACTGTCTTTGTTGAAAATAATAAGGATTATACAGAAGTATTAATAAGTCACTTTAAAAAAAGATCGGTGCGTTTGGTGTTGCACATATGTATAGTTTATTGGTTTAATAAAAAATTCCGAAGACCACCGTACCACAGTAGGCCTGACAAAATAGACTGGCTTGAACAGGTTCCATTATTTAAAATTTATAAATTAGATAGAACATAACAATATATCGTTAGTTTGTGTATTTCACAAGAACATACAGGATAGGGCGTCTAAATTTGCTATAGCTTGATGAGTATAGTCTATATAGTCTATATACTCTGATATTAGCATGTTTTATAGTAAATCAGTGACATAGCAAGGCTTGAATCTTCACTGCCTTAAACTGTAAAAGGTCTATGACAAATATCCTGACAAATCACAAATTATTTTTAAAAAATTTGACATAAATCAGTGGCTATATGTCTTGTATTGTACTGAACCACCAAATAACAAATAATACATAAAGCTACATACGAGCAGAACCGGAGCACCGCTATTTATTGCATCAGGTTAATTAAACCAATTCATCTACATATATATATATATATTATACTTCCTTAAATTTAAATATTTCCTTCCAAATACCTGTACTTGACCAATTTTCAGAATGCGCAATTTGTTTCCAAAGAGTATACTTGCAAACCCCCTATTTCCCTTTACATATATACTGATATTAGAGCTGCACCTTACATCAGTTATACGCAAAAGTAATCAGTAATTTTCATGTAAACACCTACCTTTCAGTCCTTGCCTCACGGAACGAACGCGGAATGAATTGTTTTTATATAGCAGTCACTGCGGTGCATGCTACGTACAGTACACATTAACGGCGAACAGTCTTCGGAATAAATGACGTTACGTACTTTTGTAAGGCAAATATATGACATAACCATTCACTTTTTTTAATAACGTTTTCTCCATAGGCTGATTACTGCTAGAAGCGCGCTAAAAGCGCTAATACGGAACGAAAGGGAAAATCCCTATGCTTATTAACCAATCAAATCGCAGATAAAGTCAATTCATCACCGCCCACACACAATTTTGATTGACATCGTGTTCCGGTCAAACCGTAGTGCAAAGTATGGACTTAAGTAACGAACTCCTATATAAACAGGATTTTAGTAAAGGAACTGAAGCAGGTAAGTTAGCAGCCTGCGGATAACAACCGCCCGGTTGTCTCGTAGCCCGAAAACGTAATTTAGGAACATCAGTGAAATTTAAAGGTAGGCCTATACCTCTGGGTTTTTGGGCATTTCACTCGATTGAACAAGGATTCTGTAAATGGAAATTGCGAGTGTGTACATGTTTAGACCTGCAACTGATACGCGTTCTGGCAGGAATCGAACATGCGGCGCCACATGCATGAACATGCGGTTATGGAGCTCGATAGCTGGACCATATAGCTCAGTCAGTTAGAGCCAGGGGCGGCGGAACATATTTTATTTTTGGGGGGGGGGCTATATTTTACATTTTACCTGATTTTTTTTCGTGATTAAAATTTCTTTTCGGACATACAACAAAAAATTTCTCCCCCCCCCCACTTTTACTTCTGGCGCGGGGGGGTCTAAAGCCCCCTAGCCTCCTGGTTAGGTCTAAATAAGTGTATAAAATTCACACTAGAAATTTCAATCTACAAAATCGTATACCTCTGTGGCCAGTTGTTCTAAAGCCGGTAATCATATAGGTTGAAGATACCTTTATTTACGGTATTTCTGTACTACGTTTGGGCAAATAAAATAAATAAATTAATCCTAGGTTAACCCAAAATGTCAAAGCTAATTTCCTATGTAACAGCCTATTTATAAACTAGATCCTGTGTGGGTAAATAGAAGCTTATTCCATAAAGTTTTAAACAAACATACGTGCAGAATTCCTGGTTACATTAAACCAGACTATGGTATAGGATACGAGATAAAATATAACCTGGAAATTTAAACGCAGTGTTTTAGAGCACATCACAGCAGGGTTAAATCAGGGGTGTGCGTGCTATAGCTAGGGATGAGGCGACAAGAATTGTTTTGGGTCCCTGGCATTATGATTTATGGCACATAATTGCCCATAAAATCAAGAAATTGGAAATCAAGATTATTAAGACATTTTGAAAATCAAGATTAAGACAAATCGAAAGTTCAAAGTTGTAAGCATTGTAAGCACGCTGACCGAAACCATACAAAGGCTCGTCAAATAGTAGTAAATCTTTATTAGATTCCCATTTACTGTGACAATACTGAAATCATATAAATCGGCTTATAGAATATAGTTTATCAAAAGTTACAACTCGCATTGCCATACAGTGGGACTAGTTGTCACAGACTGTCTGTAGTTTGTCAAACGCCCACGACTGTCACCAATGGGCATGGTATTTATCATTGTAATTAGCCATTCCGAAGTTGATGAGAGGACTGGGGATGAGTGTTAAAAAGTGCCCAAGTTCATTCTCGTCCCCAGGCCCAAGCTCGGGCGGCCCTCACAATGGCCCTGGTTCAGGCTGTTGAGCTGCGTCGGAATCGGCTTGGTAGCACAGCATATGCATTCCTCCCTAAAAACATGGCGACCGCAATGAATGCAACTGTACGTGGAAGACTTAATACTACAAAAAGCAATATATTTTGCACTTGCAAAAACAAATAATACTCAAATTAAGTTAAAGGAAGAGCAGAAAGAAGCTATTCGTTAAATAGTGAATGGAAGGGATGTTAAATCGTTGATATACCAACTTTTACTGTCCATGTTGGACTACATTAATTCGAGAAAAAGAAATATTTCTGCCGTGAGGCCAGAAACAATACACCCTTTCGATAATTACTTCACAACTACACAGTTTTCAACTTAGGACCGCCTTAAATGGAAAGGATTTCAAGTTCTATTTGAATTATGACCCTAATAACGCTTCATAGGTTTCCACTACTGCACTAATATCGCTTTTGTCCCGCTATATTTGTCGCTGTCAAAACAAGATGGCTGACTCATGGTTCATGTTTAGTCGATGTTGACAGCTTGAATCGAAGAAAAAAAATTATAATACAAAGCGAAAAACAGAAAGTGATATGCCGCATTCAAAAATACGTTATTCTTTGTTTGTTTTTGTTAAGTTCTATCTGTTAAGTCAATAATTGCTGCATTGGGCCTTGGGCAATGATTATTTTAAATTAATTTTTTTAAATTTAAATTCATTTAATTTGTTTAAATTTATTTTTAATTCTGTCCCTGATAAAGGCACAAGTATGTGATAAGCAGGGTATCATAATCGAGGCGAGGTTATATCGTTCCTCAAGTGATAAAACTGATCACCCCGCCCGTCATATGATAACCTATAATATATATATATATATATATATATATATATATATATATATATATATATATATATATATATATATATATATATATATATAACTATATATATATAT